ACATAGCGTCTGTCTTCTCTGTCACGACCAGTGGGAAATTAGCTCTTCAGTGAGTTATGAATGGATCGAGATCACTTTCGTTTCCTTGTGTAGAGCTTAAATTGGGCGCAACTATACTAGCTAGATAGAAAGGTCATCAATATTGATCTATTACTGTCTATCACATGGACAATATCTATTACACATATTATGTCTTCATTGTCGACGAAGCCTTTCGTTCGAGTAAGGCCATGTTGATTTGATTATATGGATGACATCCTCCGGGAACCCCAAAACTGATGCGCGCGTGCGAATAAAAAAAAGTTTTGCAAAAAAAAGTTCTTTTCATTATGAAATCTACGTGGTCATGAGGGTTGAGCAAATGGCACAGAATATGGTTTGGTGAATAATCTAGTCTTCAAGTTCATTTCTTTACAATTTCGTCTTTTTTCGTTTGATGTTGGCATTCTACGACATTGGTATAGTTTTTATTAATTTTTTTGTAACTATGGTATATTTTTGCTCATTTTGCAACTGTTTTGTACGATTTACAGTATGGTTGAAAACTGTTTTTTTGGAAACGGCCGAAAATTCATGCGCGCGTGGATGTCATCCATATAATCAAATCAACATGTCCTAATTACAGAAATGTTGCGCTTAAGAGCAACGGCAAATGTAGGGAATGCGCTAAAGCGATAAGGGTACTTGCACGAAACAGGGGTTCATAAACGAAATGGTTTTAGGGAGGATGAATGGGGAACACTGCACGGAGTCGGTAATATAACCCAGAGAATTATATATACAATAGCGCGCGACGGACACCTGCACATTTATGTAGGGGTTGAATTTTCAAACAAGTGGAATAACATGAAATTTCATGTTTTCATTATTCAAACTTCATAGAAAATTTATTCTGAGCATCATACAAGGTGTCATATGTATTCTGCATATTACACCCGGTCGTAGTCGGTTTTGGTCGGCTGTGGTGTTAAGGCATACCGGATACACAGCTAGTTATCGCCTAATCTCCAGATCCCAGGGTACCGGTGGCAAAAAGCCAGGCAGGCAGTATCCATTGGCCAGAGAGGTTCCATGCGCCATCCAAGGGGGCAGCGACAAAAAAAGGGGCCATATATAAAATGTAACGATCTTCCCCCATCAACATCTGCTTGGAGAGTAGTTACCAGCATACTAAGTGCCATAAACAGTGCAAAAAAAAACAACAGATTTCCTGGAACTGAGCCTACACCAGCAATGACGGAACCACTTAACACGACTCTCATGTTTGCCTGTCTATTTCCGTACGACATAGCCACTTGTTGCACGGCGCCTCCGGAGTCGTGAGCGTGTGTGCAGTACAACAGTCTAACGCTTCCGTGCGCACGTCTGGTACACGTGAGTTTTCACCAAAACCAATTAAGTCCCCGGCTCGTCTCGCGTGTTTCTGAAGTCATCAATCGTTCCGTGTTTGGAGCAGCTTCAAGCAAATTTCCTCCGCGCTGAAACGGCAGGCGCTGATATGTTGCCCTAATATGGGCAGCGCAGACGGCAGAACACAACATCAATCAACACGCGGTATAGAGTAAGGGCCAACACTTGATTACCCATTGTAGAGGTGAACGTCAATGGCGAAAAATAGCGCGCAAATTTCTTTTCAAAAGAGCCAGACCGCTGCCCGCGCGCCGATCCTGTAATTAAAATGGCTGTCACTGCCTTGGTGATGGATCCCCTCGCTGCCCGACCCCAATAATAGCTTGTGTACCTTCAGTGAAGAGTTTCGCCCCGCCTGAAATATCACCGGCGATCAGACGGGGCTTGACGTGAGGTGGACCCGCGGAGTCTTTGCGCATTTGTCAACGGAAACTCTGACAAGCAATTCAAACCGCCAGATCTATCTAAAGAGCACACTGCCTTACCTTGTTGATCTACTCACTGATAGACTGTTAGCGCCGCAAATAAGCATATAGACTCTGGCTCAAAACAACCTGGCCGGCCACAAGAATGGGCAAAATATTTGTATATATAATATAGTGAGAAATGGACTTTAAATATCCAGAAATATACAAAGAACTTTCATTCAGACGGTATTCCGGTTCATTCCGCCTCTCGTGTGAAGAGGGTATAATCCAGCAAATGAAAGATGTCCATGATGTATTGTTGTATTCTGTAGGTCCGTCTCGCTTCTGTGATAACGACGTGATGACACATGTAGGTGCTTAGCCGCGCGGAGATAGAGATAGCAACACTGAGTTGCAAAATTGAACATGAGGGAGAAAGGGGTTCCGTAAAGTCACGATGGGCGGACTAGGATTGCACTGGTCTAAAGTGACTGGAAGGGAGGAAATTGTCGGAAAATGACACGTCTAATTATGTTTTCCTCCACAGGACACAGAAGGAAACTTCTTTCTTCTTCTTCCTCTTGTCTAAACCTTCCTCTTGCCTAGGTCAGTGACCTGGGCCATACGTCTGTCACCATGGTAACTGATGCAATAGCAGACACCCTGTGGTGTTGGATTACATTACATGTATGTAGCAAGTGGCAGGACAGCTTTCGCCATGGTAATTGGTGCTGTAGCAGACACCCTGTGGTGTTGGATAATACATTATGTAGCGAGCAATGGCGGGACAGAGCTGGAGGGCCGACTGAATGTGCTTGAGTAAGAATAAACCGAGAAGTAGTTTGTTAGACCATGTGAAGGTATGCACAACAATATTCATTTACTTTCTAGTTTTACATTAATACGATTGCTTCTACTGGTGGAGGCTCCTATGCCGTATCCATAGTGGGAAAAATAACTTAAAAATTTTACTTTATATTCAATCATTTATAAAGGAAACTAAAAGATTTGAGTAATTCTTTCCTATCAATTTTGTAAGTTTTGCCTTTTTTGCCTGGTTACACATTGTAACCTTATTTATTCTATTCTGTTATTATTAAGCTTTGCATGTCTGTTTTTGCATTTGCTTTTGTATTTTTGTAATGTCAGATGGCGACATGAACATAAGCTTCGGCTTGAGTGTGTCGTCATCCTGTCCACTTTGCTTCTAAATGTTTTAATAAAGAAAAAAAATTCAGCCACTGTTGATGGATATCCACGCTGAAGATTGGATACTGGCAACGTTGATTTCACTCAAAATGATCCACTACTAAGGCATCAGACAGGAAAGATGCACAACGACACAGGTACGAAGTAGCCGTCCTGGGGCCAGGGGATCTGCTGCTACCAGGTTGCATTTTCTCAGACTTTGACGGGGCAAAGGTCTTGGCAGCCTGTAGGTCCTGTGGAGTACATTACGGTCCATTTGTCCGTGTACTTGACAGGGCTGGAAATACTCGTACCACCTGCATATGCAGGTTAGTGCAGGTATATCTGATGTCTACCGGTATCTAACCGGCACTGGTCCGTGTACTGGACTTGTATACAAATGTACGATTTGCATGCTGCATTGACTCTTAACACCTATGAAGTATAAACAAAATAATGGCAAACGTTTCTGAACAGTTTTAGTAAGATTCCCAAATTCTGAGTGATGCAGGTAAAATTTTTCAAGTGCAGGTATACAGAAAAAAGTGTTTCAAGCCCTGACTTGTTAATACAGTCTGTAAGTTTCCCACTCTGTACATGAGGCATTGGTTGACGTATCATCAGCCTTTTACCTCCTCCCCCCGTCCTTAATCCCGTAGTTTTCCGGGAAAAGGATGTTCCGTTCACCTGTCTCATTCCCGGCCGTTAAGCGGTTATCCCCCCAGCAGGGACTCAGCGTACACAGCACTCCAACCGGTGCAAACTGGCCCATTTATGCACAGCTGTAAATCCAGGGATCTTACCCGTCTCTGGCTCTCGGACAGAAATCTGTCTTGCTTAATGTTGCGGCCATTACGGGATTCCTAGTTTCGCTTGGGCCACCGTGAGGGGTCAGATTGGAAATGTTCCGCCTCTAGAGGAGGGTTTTGAGAGGGTTTTAGGGGGGAGATTCTGGCGCTTAGTTGTGGAAAGGCGCGCAAATGAGGAGAGACAGGCTGATCAAAAATTGAGAACGTTTCAGCTGGCTGATATTACGAAGGTGAAGGATGCAAAGGAGACGCTGTTTTTCGCAAAGCCTACTTGATTTGTACAAATTGTACAAACACACAAATATCACAATATCTTTACTGGCAGTGATGTTTACACTACTTTAAGTTGGTTCTTCCCAGGAGATGACTCAACTGATACAGCGGGAAAATATTATTGTAGTATGGCGAAGGGTGTTCGAAAAACTCACAAAAATCACAATATTTTACTGGCAGAGTGGCAGTGTTTTTTTTAAACTGCTTTAAGTTCGTTCTTCCCAGGAGATGACTTAACTGATATGGCGGGGAAAGATTCTTTACACAAAAAGCCGTCTCAATTTTGCGCTTGATATTGTTTTCCGATAAAAACACTACATATTGGGACAGGTGTCATCTTTACTCAGAGAAGGGGACATGACTGGTTCACGTCAAAGGGATTAGACGTCAGTACCTTGGACAGAACTGTTGCGTTACATTATACTAGTATTCTGTGAATGAGTAGCCTCGGTAGATCGTCAAAATCAGGACACAAAAACATGTTTGTGTACATGTGTTTCCCATTTATGAGTCAGTGTGTTTATTCAGGATTCGCATCGTTACTAAGATTCAGAAACAGCAGTGCCAACCAAATTGTTTCTGGCCCGTTTCAACAACGTGTTTTTCTTGTCGTGTTTCAGGGTTTGGCATAACGACATCACAAAAATCAGAGACACGGCAATATTCAACACCATCAACCAAGTTGTTTATGATTCGTTTCAATAAAAGTTAACATTTTTTTCTTGTTGTGTGTTTCAGGGTTTGGCATGACGACATCACAGACATCTGGGACACATCTAGTTGTTTATGGTCCACTTGACAACCGTTTTTTCTTGTGTGTTTCAGGGTTTGGCATGACGACATCACAGATATCTAGGACACATCTAGTTGTTTATGGTCCATTTTGACAACCGTTTTTTCTTGTGTGTTTCAGGGTTTGGCATGACGACGCCTCAGACGGACGAGGGAAAGATCTTCCTGCTGTTCTACGGCCTGTTCGGCTGCGCCTCCACCATCCTCTTCTTCAACCTGTTCCTGGAGCGCATCATCACCTGCCTGGCCTTCTGCATGAAAAAGTGCCACGAGCGCGACCTGAGGCGTAAAGGTCTCCTGAACCAGCAGCCGTCCAACAGCCACAGCTCGGAGGGGGACAGCGACTCCCTGGAGGCGTGGAAGCCGTCCGTGTACTGGGTGATGCTGTACCTCGGCATGGCGTCCGTGGCCATCGCCTGCAGCGCCGCCGCCATGTACAGCCCCGTGGAGAACTGGACCTACCTGGAGTCCATCTACTTCTGCTTCATCGCCTTCAGCACCATCGGCTTCGGGGACTACGTCACCAGCCAGAACGTCAAGTACCAGAACCAGCCGTTCTACAGGTTTGTATCTGTCTGTATCTGTATAGCCGGTATATATAACCGCCCTCCGGCGTAACTACTAGTATCACACCAGCTTCCGTATTTGCATCTGTATAGCCAGTATAACCGCCATTAGGCCCACCTGTGCTTGGTGGCAACGAGTTCCACTTTACGATAGTTCTTCAACACCTCAATTCTTAGTTGATAACTCTGATATTTGAAGGCATGGCCGTTCCGCATTCGTTTCTGGACTGGTGTCAGATACTTAGTGATTGGTACGTTCACAAGGTTATAAGTCATAGTCTGGACATTTTTCGTCTGTCTTCCAGCACCATCTACTGCAGGTTTCATTTCATTTCCGCTACACTAAAAACTACACTGCAGCATCCTTCGGCTTGGTTCTGTGCCCTTTCCAGTTTATCTTAGTCTCTCTTTTTATTGCAGGTTCGGCAACTTCATCTTCATCCTCATTGGTGCCTGCTGTATCTACTCTCTCTTCAACGTCATCTCCATCATCATCAAGCAGTTCCTCACGTGGATCATCAGGAAGACCGTCAAATACTGCTGTCGCTGCTGCAAGAAGAAACAGAAGCCCAAGGGCCGGCCCAGAAGGAACGCCATCACCCCGGGTCACCTCAAGAGGCGGCTGCAGATGCAGAGCAGGGCCAACCACGCGGACAACAGCTCTCGCTCGCCGACGGACGTGCCGCCGCCCCCGCCCGAGCCCGACAGGCTCAGCTACGACAGCGACTCGGACAGTAGGAGAATGTCGGGAGAAATGATCTCCATGAGGGATTTTCTCGCGTCCAACAAGGTCAGCCTGGCCATCATGCAGAAACAGCTCTCGGAGACGGCAAACCACGCACGCGCTGCCCCACCCCCCAGGCACTCCCACTACAACGGCGGCGGGCTGGCCGGGGGAGTCGGGGCGCTCGCGATCCTCAACAGCAGACTAGCGGGAGAAGCCAATAAGCAGTGAAAAGAAAACCACGAGGTATGTTTGTACGTTCGTCACCAAGTCAGCAAAGTGTTGGCATCTAGCATGCAGATCACTTGTAGTCTTGGTAAGAACTGATGAAAGTTGAAGTTAAACGAAAGATGGAATGCTTCATTGCCTGTTGGGATTCTCTCAATAGTAGAGGTGAAAATCTCTTCAAGTCTCTGTGAGAGCAATCTGTGAGGAAGGATTGAAGCGCTGTCACGACCAGATGCGCCTCACACCGGCACGAGCTTGGAAAAAAGCAAAATGTGCTTAACGTACAATAAATGCGGACTGGGCTACACGGGATGACTGAAAAAGCCGCCTTATTTCTATTCACTGACGTCGGTGAAAACCTCTGAGCATGTAAGGCTTCAACAGATCAACCGAAGATATCGGCGAGAGGAAAAAGACCTCCACAAGTGTGTGTAAAGACTTGAAATAAAAAGGCCTTCAGTCGAGGAGAGTGACGCAGTCACGTATTGGCAATAAACCGTGATAGGAGGACAGCGATGACTGGACATGGCGGCAACGTTTAACATGTGTCACCGGTTCAAGCAACAGACAAAGACATGAACTAACTCTGAGAGACGTTGTCTTTCTGATTAAGTATAAACGTTATTCCTCATATAAAGACGCTTTAAGTAACCGTGTCGACAACACGTCCAGTGAACAACTGATGTTTTATGCGGAAGTCTACCATAAGAAGATCCATTATGTAATGGGTCGCATATTCACCCATGACTGGAAGCTAAGATCGCCACAATATCTACATGCAAGGTGCTGCAGCTTCTGGCAAGGAGACATCATATACGGTCATCTGCAAGCACGCAGTTGTCGAGGAGACCTTCTCTTTAGTACTTTCTATACCGCACAAGACTTTGTAAACGTTAGCAGCTTATGGCTACCAGAAGTCCAAGAATGTAAGCTCTCTCTACCCTACAGGCATTTTCTCAGGAACAGAAGCAGCACGTTGAAAGGGGATTGCCATCTTATTCAGCGACATACTAACGCTATACATACCCATCTACAATCTATATGTACGTCTATAATACATGTTGGTCTTGTTAGGGAAAATTACCACAAGATAACGCCTTCAACATGTATTCCTGGGTAACGTGACTCCCTCAAAGCTCGATTATTGCAAAGTAGAGCTTTTATTTGACCTAATTATTTTCATTGGACCGATAGAAAGGCATCAATGCTGCGGTTCTTTTTTCGAAGGCGTCAAAGTGTAACTTTGCGTTTCTCCCCGACTATTACCGACATTTTTCACAACCAACATGCTGTGACTCGATCTAATGACGTAGTATGTCAATGTGACAGGTAGCATTCTGCCGATGAGAAGGAGCATCACTTTCATAAGATGGTAGCATCCACAGCAGCCGTGTCGCGGTCCAACAGATTAGGAGGGAAACTTCTAGAAATTTCAATACCGGGTCCTCGCTCATAGACCTACAAACAGTGCCTACGCAGCAACAATAGAAGTTGTGGTCACAAACAAGGTTGGATGTTTGGTCGAAAATAACCAGCCCACGATACCTATTTTTCTACAGCATCGTCACACAGAGCACCACAGAGCACAAAGCGCAGGCCTCCGCCAAGGCAAAGTAGTGTTGAAAGTTTCCCAGACTCCCGATGGCGACGGGGAAAATTCCTGTCAAATTTCTGGATAGATTTTTCCTAAAATGTAATTATGGCGCGAAATCCCCTCCCCCCAGCCACCAAAAATTATCCATAATTTTTTTTAGATAATCCGGTAAAAGAAATCAACCGACGGACGCTAGCTAGTAAACCTACTTGGTATACGTCATTGGAGATTATCACTACTACAATGTGTTCGAGCAGAAAGAACGGTTTTCGAACAGAGAGAACGGTTTTCGAACAGAAAGAACGGTTTTCGAACAGAAAGAACTGTTTGAAGATACAGAACGGTGGTCGAGCAGAATTAGAAAGGACTGTATTCGAACAGAAAGAACTGTGTGCGAACAGAAAGAACTGTGTGCGAACAGAAAGAACTGTGTGCGAACAGAAAGAACTGTTCGAAGATACAGAACGGTGGTCGAACAGAATTAGAAAGGACTGTGTTCGAACAGAAAGAACGGTTTTCGAACAGAAAGAACTGTTCGAAGATACAGAACGGTGGTCGAACGGAATTAAAAAGGACTGTATTCGAACAGAAAGAACTGTGTTCGAACAGAAAGAACTGTGTTCGAACAGAAAGAACTGTGTTCGAACAGAAAGAACGGTTTCTTCAAGGAACGTGACGCTAGTATTTCCTTCAGCGTTCAGGCATGACAATATTCGGCCCAGTTTGACTGTTGCGATTGCTAGAGCCATGTGCATTTGCAAGAAACAAGTTGTTGAGTCTCCACCAAGCGCTCTGTAGACATGAAAAATGAGGTTCCATCACCAGCGTTGAGCACAAGGTGCGAAGGGAGCCGGCAGATAGGTGCCCGCGAACTGTATCGCTTCAGTCAGCAAAATGATGCCGGGGACTGTCCACTAACAACTGTGGAGAGGGAAACCGCGATAATAGGTATGAACCTCCCCTCATTCAATTCGATCCTCCACGCATCTTATTCTTTTGTTGCCCCTTTATACAACCAGAAACTTGATTTCACGAATTTAATCCGACTCCGAATTTAGTCCGTAAAATGAAATAGCACCGTAAGGCGAGCGGAAATTTTAGGGGCTGAAATCCGAAATGACTTACCAAAACGTCTGACAGTTGTTTAACGAGCTATCCTTAACGTTACGTGGGTGGGTACTAAGCAATATCGTATCTGAAAAAGAAAACATATAAACCCGTAATTGACGCCCGAAAACTGCGTGAGATAATTGGTTTAATGGTTTCGGCATAAGCGGGATCTAGTCGATTATGTGCGGCCTCCCGTGACATACGCACAGCGTATCTGAATTTTACGAGAGCTGTGCAATTCTGGGGAGGTCAGACGGGAAGGTTGGCGGCCATCTATTTAATCGGATTTGGATGGGGCCAACGGGGGTGGTTTCAAACCTTCGCGGGTCTTTTGTAAACGAAAATTGTTCACTCTTAAGCATTTATATCCTCACATCAAATTGAAGCAACAGCTTGGGGGAAGATACATGAGTACATATATAAGATATATATATGTAACAGTTACTCATATATTTTATATATGTACTCATATATAAGATATATGATTACGATTCAGTCCTTTGATACGCCGTATCATAAGCAAATGGTGTGACTATACTGTATGTCCATAAACCATCGATCAATCAACACTAATGAAGCCTTGCCTTAAAAGTGCATGCTGCTCGCATTCTAATTTTGGTCTTCAGAGACATCTCGTATCTGTACTACATGTGATGGTGTGGTCAGTCAGATTTACTCTAATCGAAAGGATTAACACGTTTTGAGAAAGTTTGCCATGGCTGAACTGACGTTTCATTGCACGAAAAGTTGGATGGTAGTAAATGCGACTGAAGTCGGGTATGACTACGTTCGCTTTGTAAACAGCACCGGAATTAACAATGTTTGTTTTTTGTTTGTTTCGCATAACCGGTAAACCTTCTTTAGACGTAACACATCAGTTTTGTACATGTCAGTACAAACTGCGTAAGTCCGAATTGTAAGGTTTGAGCCACTCGTACCGGGAAGGTCCCCTACTCTTTTCGGTAAGTGCGGTGGGTTCTTTAATATGTGAGGGGTGTGACTCCCCCCAAACACGGGACCTCCATTTAACGTCTTATCCGAGGGACGTCCCTGACCAAAGCTAGGTGAGTGAACCTGGGTGAAGTGAGGAAAGTCATGTAAAGTACTTTCCCAAGGGCACAAGATCGGTGACAATGTGGGGTTCGAATCCGGGACCTCTTGGTTCCGAGCCGAAGACGTTACCGCTACGCCACATGACCCCAATGATAGTAAATAAAAGTCAAGTCTGGTAAATTTCATTTACTACCATTGTTCAGTCCAGTACTGTTTTAAAAGCAAACATTACCCGACTTTACTGCAATTTGCTACCATTGGTAAGTCCAACTTTTCGTGCAGTGAATTTCGCAGACGATATGACCGTTCGACAGCCGATTCCTCCTGCCTCCCTCTGATCAAGTGTTCCTTTGCGATCGGTGGATTTGTTCCGCGGCTCTTCCCGAGGTCGACTGCCGCTCATTACCAGTCCTCCCGCAGACACTACCGGACGGAGGTCTGTCAGAGCAGCCCCGTTACCTCATCATGTCTGACTCCCCGGGGGGATGGGAACGAGATCCCATCTCCTGGACGTGCGCACGCACTCTGTCCCAGGATTACCTGGACAAAAACACCCCCGTGTCTCACGCCGCCTGGAATCCCAAACGCGCTCGGCAGAATTCATCAGTCGCTCTGTGGAGACTCTCTCGTGATTAGTGCCTGGAAACAATCCCGTTTGTCCGACTGAGAAGACACCAATTTCAAGTTCCAATTATGTAGATGAGCTAGGCTCGCATTTGTTGTTGAGTGCAGATTACGGATACGAATATCCGATCTGAATAGTCCTATGAGATGTGGAACGCACTCGCCAATGGGAGATACATGTATTATGACTGCAGGATGGAGTACGAGAAACATTATAATGATTCATCCTTCCATCGCTAGACTTTAGGTTGAAATCTGTGCAGGATTTACACATTGCTTTTGCCGAGAATAGAAAGATCCTAATCGAACACGTCGAACCCCCTGTTCTACCATATTTCGAACAGGTGTTCGAGATAGAACAGGGGGCGGGGCTTAAGGTGTTCCATCAGGAAAGGTCTATCGATAATGACTTGGTGTTCTGCAAGATGACAACGGTCAACGATATATCGAGATATAGCCGTTTTACGTGGCATTTGTAAATCATTGTAAATATACAGAATATGTAGATAAATACCGAGTATAGTTTAAGGGTTTCTAAGTAAAGTAATCGCGACATCTAGCGGTGCTTGTCAAACTGCAGGGTAAAGTGCAAAGGGACTGTATTTTATTGTTATCAATATCGGAGGATCTCCACCCTGTATATCATATTAAATGTAGCGAATAACGCTATCTGTATCTAATGTTCTTTCAGTTTATAGCCTAGTAAAGCCTAGTGAAAAACAATGATAACCCATGACATTCAACCAATGCATGACAACGACTCATGGTACAACTGCACACACACGAGGCTATCACATGTAAACGTTATATTATCCACTTGTTGCACACTTGACACTGACTTCCATTATTATTAAACTGTATCAGTTTCATAACGAATTCTAAGTATTTTGTGTGTAAGCACCAAAAGATGTCAGCACAGCATAGAAATAAGACTCGGAGAAAGCCAGGTTTAAGTTTTGTATGTATGTTGGTATTCATTTTCCTCACTTCCTGTAACGTTATGATATAGTCGATCGTAATATGTCTCTTAAAGATTACATTGAACTTATTCAAATGGGTACATAGATTTCAACAATTAGTTGTATTTTTAATTGGAAACAAACAGTTTATTGTACTTTTATGGAGGCTTGAACTTGACTTCCAAATTAAGAAGGGGAGTGGAGACAATCGGAAATATGATATAGTTGTGAATATTCTCGACGTTTTTTTTCTAAAGGTAACTTTGATAGTTCCTTTAATATTGAAATGCACATCCAAGACAAAGACCAACACGTCCAATTGACACGAACGTAAACAGAAGTCTAGATCACTCCTCTGTTAGCTTCCATGACACTATACTATAGTACACATGTAATCACGAAGCTGGTCTGTAAATGCTCAGCTGGTAGCCTCCTTATACAACCCGCCATTGTTTGCTTGCTTCGGCCTTCGCATAACCAGTAAACCGCCTTTAGGCGTAACACACCAGTTGCGTACAGTAAGTACAAGCTGTGTGAGACTGGACTTTAAGGTTTGGACATAGACCTGGGCATACTTGTTGTATGGAGAACATAGTCACAGCGTAAGTCTTACTTTTCTATCCTCAAGCTTCTATCTCAAGATAATGCAGAAAACTCTTGTTTGTGCACTTGCGAAGTTCCTATGCAATAAAAACCTTTCTACACACGACACAACTTCAACACAACTGCGCCGTCATTCGTTTTCTATCGGTACTGCAGGCATCCACACCAGAGTTAGTCCATATCCATGCGAGACGTAAGTTTGGATTTTAGTTTTTGACAAGGCGGTGACTGAAACACATATAACGTTACAGTCACCGTTATGGTTTTATCATATACAAGAATGACTCATTATCCAAATGTATTTTCATTTTAGTGCCCAACACGAGAAGGCAGTCTGTCATACTAAGCATGACATACGTCGATGAAGGTTAGACATCCAGGTAATAAAATACGCCAAAACGCAGTTACTCAAGCAACTGGATGTGATTTTGGAAACGGTCATAATAAGGAATAGACTAGTCACCGACTAACTCTAAAGTGACTGAGAGACCGGAGGAGAAATGCAGGTTTATAAGCACAAATGCACAAACTAATAATTGATATGCAAATAAGTGAAGGCATATGTGCTTATAAACCTGCATTTCTCCTCTGGTCTCTCAGTCACTGACGAAAGCTAGTGGATGCTAGCTGAAACATCTGACCGTTTCCAAAATCATATCCAGTTGTTTGAGTAACTGCTTTTTGGCGTAAGCATGACATATCATACGCACGACACCGATATCTAATACCGCCATTTGAAGTCGATCAAAGTAGCATAGTCACCGAGGACTCTAGTGCGCGTTTTAGAGTTAGTCGGTGACTGGTCTATTCCTTGTGGTGGAAAAGCAGGTTCTGAGATTAGCCGTACCGCATGATACGTTAGCCAGTTCAGCTAATCTCCAAGCAGATCCTACGGTGGCAAGCTAATGGTCACTCCTTTGACCAGTGGACACAGCCTTGCCGCCGTAGGATCTGATTGGAGATTAAGTTCAGATATATTGATCAAGTCTCAAGGGCAGTTTTGGCATTTTGACAGAACAATACCGTGTCCGTCATGAGCGTCTCGCTGCAATCACGTGCGCGCCTGTGCGGGCCAATGTCCGATATGTATAGTCAAAATGTTATCATCAAAAGGACCACAAGTAAATATTTGTGACGTCTGGTCTTCAGGACTATGTGACATAGTGTGGACTTTAGGACCTGAACAGGATAGAGCATGTACACATCTCACCAGATGAAAACATGCAGTTACTGTAGATGTAATACGAGTGGTCTGTGTAGAATCCTCAGTGCTTTTTATTGGCTTTCGGATGATACAAATTATGTTGTGATTATGGACGCAGCGGAAGACCTTTATAGACATCGAACTCGAAGTCAACAGGTTGTTTTTAATGTCCGCCCGATGAGGTCAATTTTACCGACCTTGCACGGTAACGGTTTCCCGAAGTTACGGTATCTCCCTAGCCTCTACCAGGCTTCAGAAGTGGCTGGAAAAAGTATGAGAGTTGATCAGCAAAAGGAGTACAGTTTGCCACTCTCGAACTGTAATCAATTCAGCAGACCAACTCCCCTTGCATTTTATCTGTCTATTTGGTCAATTTGCCTACTCATTCCAGTCGCTCTCGAAGCCTGATGGAGGCTATAGCACCTTCCAAAGTGCAAAGGTTGGGACCACCACATTTGGGTAACAAACAGAGACCTCGCGGACTCCACTGGTGCTGACCCGACTGTGCAATCATGATGCCGCTCTTCGCCATTCTCCTGGCCGTCCTCTGCTGCAGCCACCACCACTGCTCGGCTGCGCCTTCCTCCGAGCCTCCGCCAGTCACGGAAAACGCGCAGCCCTCCTCTTACACGTTCCCACCCTACTGGGTCGACGAACTGTTCGGCGGGGGCCCGGGCGATCGCGAGGAAGTGTTCGGGACCGACGAACCGAGCTCGCCCGAAGGCGAAGTCACCACGCCGGATCCGGGGTTGTTTGTTGAGTACGAAGGTTCGGCAGACTGGGAGGGGTCGGGATCAGGGTTTCAGCCCATCCCAAGAGTTCGTAAGTTAACTGTTGTTGTATCTAGATCTGTGCCTATGTAGTTCTACGCATGTTGGGTTAAGGATTAGGTGCTGTTCTGGATTGTCTTTGCGTGTCCAAGAACGTAGATTTGCGTCATACACGGTTCTGGATACTCGTGGACTATATCCAGACCCGTGCCTGAGCATGGTTCTGGATAAAGCACGGTTCTTTGTACAGCGGTAACTTTGCTTGGCTGTCTATTTCTGTACATGAAGGGTGAGGATCAGGCACGGTTCTGGATAGCCTTTGCGTATCCAAGAACGTAGATTTGCGCGGACTATCCAGACCCGTGCCTGAGCATGGTTCTGGATAAAGCACGGTTCTGGATGCAACGGTACGGTAACTTTGCTTTTTTATTTTGTGTTGTTTTTCCATACTCAACTTGGGTGAAGCATTGTGCCTTCTTAAGTGGCTCGTAGCGCAATGCTAGCCTCTACCAGGCTTCGGGAGGCGGCTCGAAAGAGTATAAATCGGCCAGTTTGCCGCTCCCGACGCAAACCGTACTCTCTAGCGGACCAACTCCCCTGGCATGTTTAATATCTCTCTATTTGGCCGATTTATACTCTTTCTAGCCGCTTCAGATTGGGTTCACTAATATAAGCAACTTTACCCATACGCAAAACGACATCGCTGCAATTCTAGTTGAAAGTGCCCCAGCTCGGTACTCCCACTAAATTGTTCAACCAATATGATTGGGGAGGTTAATACAAAGAGAAACCTGTGGCTTATGTACAAACATGCGATGTGTAACTTAGATATGGACTATCTCGCGATCACCCTGAAAAGTAAACAGGACAATAACCTCCTTCACTAGTATCCACTAGCTTTCGTCAGTGACTGAGTTGTTCAACAGTGTGCTGATGCACACTGTTGAACAACTCTGTATAGTAGGGTATCCGTAGAGTCCTTTTGTGCTTACAGGTTGAATTCATTGTCCTTGCATTTAGTGTTATTGTATATACTTTACTAGTTTTTAAAAGTAAATAAGCTAGGGTTTTAAACAGTTGCGGCATCATGATTTTAATAAGTAATATGTAATATGTGCACGCAATTCAGCCTGTGGCTGCGATGTGAAACATACCAATTGTACTGTTTATTGTATTTGTGAAATAAACCAATATATCATTCACAATGAATGCTCAAAGGCTGAAGTTGTCAATACGAGTTTGACACTTGCCTGAGCTGCATCTGTATAATACGGCAAAACTGGCAGGCGCAACCGTGCTTACTTGTTTTACTATATGGCTGTCCGTCGTATATATATTTAAGTGCAATGGTTATATTACGAAAACAATGTGCATAGAATGTGTGACGACAAATTCTGCAATAGAAGTATACTTAGTGAATAAGTGAAATATTTGTTGGCTGATGCACAGCACTTTTTTGCTCCTTTTAACCTTGCACCCAAAGGATTTCTGTTGATCTGATTAATGAATGAATGAATGAATGAATGAAAGACCTTTATTGCACATTTATGCTCTTTCGAGCTAAGTACAGGTCATGAAGACAAACTAAATAATACTATTGTTTACAGGATCGACTTCTTCTCGCTTCTTAAAACAATTGTAGATGAATGAACATATAGAACTTACAAAACACGGCTTGTCTAATTTCATAAAATATATAAATTTGTCTAAACTATTCAAATATTTAAAACTAGGAAACTTATACCGGGGTGTTTTGATCTTTATCTTGTCCTAGTGTTTTGAATGTGTCGTTTTTATGTCGCTCCGTACAAAATAAAGATGTTGAAAATGGCTGCTCAACTCAGAGGTCCAAGAACAAAGAGGTCCCGGGTTCGAGTCCTGACATGCCACCGATCGTGTGCCCTTGGGAAAGGCACTTAACACGACTTTCCTCACTTAACTCAAGTGAACATGAGCACTGTCCTGTCCTGCATAAAACAAGTTGAAAAAAACTTGAGTGTCCCGTCACCATGTGTTGTCATGAATTTGTGAAGAAAATTAAACTGTCTAACAACTCAACAACGAAAATAACTCACCAGAAATGTTCGACTGAATCACTCGGGTCATAAAGCTGATGAAGACTGAGCGATTCACTTGAAAATTTCTGGTGAGTTATTTTCGTTGAGTTGGAGAACAGTTTATTTTTCTTCATGTATTTTACCAACTCAGATGAACTTTCATGCTAGTTGTCATGAATTGTTGAAATAGAAAAAAAAATACATTTTCCGCCTGACGTTCCTGTCCGTCCCTATAGCCTGCCCGCCGCGCAGGGACAAGGAGGGAGACACGTGGGTGGAGTTTGAGAAGTGCCGGACCTGCACCTGTAGCTACGGAGAGGCCGTCTGTACAAGGTGAGTACAGTATACAGTCAAACCTGCACCTGTAGCTACGGAGAGGCCGTCTGTACAAGGTGAGTACAGTATACAGTCAGACCTGCACCTGTAGCTACGGGGAGGCCGTGTGTACAAGGTGAGTGCAGTATACAGTCAAACCTGCACCTGTAGCTACGGGGAGGCCGTCTGTACAAGGTGAGTACAGTATACAGTCAAACCTGCACCTGTAGCTACGGAGAGGCCGTCTGTACAAGGTGAGTGCAGTATACAGTCAAACCTGCACCTGTAGCTACGGAGAGGCCGTCTGTACAAGGTGAGTGCAGTATACAGTCAAACCTGTAGCTACGGGGAGGCCGTCTGTACAAGGTGAGTACAGTATACAGTCAAACCTGCACCTGTAGCTAACAGTATACAGTCAACCCTGCACCTGTAGCTACGGAGAGGCCGTCTGTACAAGGTGAGTGCAGTATACAGTCAAACCTGTAGCTACGGGGAGGCCGTCTGTACAAGGTGAGTACAGTATACAGTCAAACCTGCACCTGTAGCT